TACGAGGAAAGTATACGTGGAGCTTACGAGGAAATGTTTTCCACGGCTTTACGAGGAAACCTTCCCTCGTAAATTAGCTAGGCCTTTACGAGGAAAATAGGCTTTACGATGAACGGCTTTCGACGAAACACGTTTCCTCGTTATTTCCTAGTAAAGGGCCATTTACTAGGAAATAACGAGGAAAACCCGTCCTAGTAAATGACGTATTTTCTTGTAGTGTCTAGATCATAATGTTCTTTAGTATATTGTTAATGTTTTATCTTCAATTGTACCAATCCGCATTTATATATATGTAGGTTGGATCTGGTTAACAATATTCCAGTTTCGAGTGATGTTTATGACTATTCTTAGATCTAGTTTAGATCCAAACTCAAATTTGGTTAATAATATTTTGCCTTAAGGTCAGGTAGCAAAATACATAAAATTGAACATTAAAAGTATTTATCTATATTTGAATATTAATTCAATTTTTCATTTTTATCAAAAATAATTTTTTTGTAGATATCCGTTTAATTCCAATGAAGTTTGGATAATATGTGAAACCAGTAATACCGTCTTTTTTTTTAAGAAATACCGTCTTACATGATCGTTTGAATATTTTTACATCGGTTACTGATTATATTCAAATTTTGAACCCAGTCACAACTCATATCCTTTTTTTTGTCAACTAGTCACAACTTTTATGAATTTAAAAGATACTGGTACACTTTGTTAAGAGTTATTTTCACTGAGAGACACTTTCGTGTTTTTTATTACACTGCAAGACACTTCTTGCTACTTGGGCACATTTTGTCGGTGAATCACTAACTTGGTGCTTTTATGTAACGAGGAAGCTAACTATTGGTTTGACTTATAGTTTCTTTTTGAATTTCGAATTTAAACCGATTTATTTATAAAAGAAAAGAAAATCCTTTATTTTGCCTGTTTTTCATTGGTGGATTTTAGGTGATTATTCAAACGAATTGATAACCCTTCTCTAAACCACCATTCTCGTCACAAACGAGAAACTAATCAGATCTTCTCCCTCGTACGCGTCTCACAGAAGCGAATCCCCTTTTGATTGCTGAGTTTCTTCGTTGTGTTTATATACGAGAGAGAGTGTGTTACGATGTCTCTCCGCCGTAGCCGACGTGGGAAAGAGATCGTCGGCGGTTAGTTTCTGCGTCTCTGACATTTTTTTTTTCTTTTTTTTTGGCTTTCTAGTTCCCTTTTGTTAAATCGTTTTATTGTTGGTCTTGTCGTGTAACAGAGGAGCCGGAGGTTGAATGTCTTACCGGTCGTTTACCGGAACGTCTCTTTGCGACTGACCGTTTTCCAAGCGAGAGGATTAACCTATACTCAACCGTCGATCACCTTTTGGCTGTCAGAGATGCTCTACAAGGGTCTGCTGAGTGGGAACGGCTTAAGAGGTCTTGTTTCGGCAAGCTTTTCACCATACCCGTGCGACGTCTTCTGATGAGTAGGGTAGGCCACGGGATGTTGACACGACAGGTTGTTACCAAGAAAAAGTATGAATTGTGGCCTGTTTTTGGTGGGAATCCGTTTCGTTTCTCTTTAGTGGAGTTTGGGGAGGTTACGGGGTTGCCTTGCGGTGAGTTTGAGGACGGTTATAGTATCGACTATCAAGAGCCATCGAATGAGGAGAACTATGATTATTGGGGGAAGTTGATAGGTGAAAATCGAGAAGTGACTATTGAGGAGCTGGTCGGTATGGTGTTGGGTGATAGTAGAATGCCGGGTTGGAGAAAACTCAGGCTCTGTTTGATAATTATTGTTGATGGGGTTTTGTTGACGACGTCGGCGAAGCCAAAACCGACGCTGAAGTATGTTAACATGTTGAAGAATTTGAAAGGGTTCTTTGATTTTCCTTGGGGCCGCGAGTCCTTTCTGGTTACAATTAGCTTGATGTTACCAGCACCCAAAGTTTGGGGGAAGTGTGATGATCCTATTGGTGATTTGTGCAAGAAACTGAGGCAGAAGACTACACGGCTTGTAGGTTTCCCCCTTGCTTTGCAGCTAGTGGCTTTCGAGTTGATTCCGAAGTTACTTAGTGCAGCGGGTGGAGATGATAACACAACGCTGCTTAACTACTCTGGGCAGATTTTGCCAAAGCACGCAGGTTTAACGGCTGAAGATGTGCGCCGTGCAGAGCACGCGATTGGGGTGAGTATCTATTTCGTTTGATTGGTAGCTTTGTGTACATTATTTTGTGTCCATGTATACGTTTTGATTTCTAGCTTTTGTGTACATTAATAGGTGTCCATGTGTACATGAATTGGTGTACAGAATTACATTAATTAGTTTGGTATTAAAGTGCTTATATTAAGTTTTTTCTTTTTTTTTTGGGTGCAGCTTGTTGTTCAGCCAATGATGGAGATTAGTGGTGATAAGCCAGAGCGTTGGGGCTTGTTTGATGATGAGAAGTACGACAAGAAGGTTGAATACATGGTTGGCCTTATTAAAGATGGCCATGTTTTTAGCAAAGCTCATTGGGGTGGGGGTGATGCTGCGGACCCATTGTATGTGTATTCAGAGAAGGAGAATACGAAGAAGAGGAAAGGGTTTGTGGTGAAAGGGGATGAGCCACTCCTTAAACAAAGGCGCATGAGTGCATATTTTCAGCGTGGGGTGTCTGTGGATGTTGAGAAGTTTGAGAAGGTTGTGGGAAAAGTAGAGGAGCTAGCGAAGGAGGTCGAGATGCTTAGGGGTCGTTGTGACAAGCAGGAAAAAATTATTAGTAAATTGAAGAACTTGAAGAAGTTCCGTAGTTCTGGTAATTGTAGGAGTGGGACAAAGAAGCTGTTAAGCGTTAGGGATGGTACTAGGGTTAGACGTTCTCGTAGAAGTGCCGTAGGTGGTAGTGATGTTAGGCATCAACTTCCTGATAGTGTAGAAGGAACTCCGTCAGGTAGTTTAGAGGAGAAGCGGGGAGAGGATGGAGCTAGTTTGCTTGTTATGATGAAACGTGGTGTTAGTGATGCGGAGGCTCAGGGGGAGAACATTGGAGAGGGTCTTGGCCTCAGTTCAACTGTAAGTAACAAAATTTCACATGTGTGTTTGTTTGGTTGATGACCCAACTGTAATACAGGAGTTGGGTGAGCTTGGCGTTTTGGTGAGAGCTGTTGTTTCTGAGCCTGTGGTGGATGGGTTGGAAGATGGGAAGGTGTTAACTGTTAAGGTAATATGAAAATAACTTAAGTTATTGATTGTCGTTTTGGTTAACCATTTGTTTTGGTTTTTTATATTTAAGGGACCAGATAATGACCCGGAAACCGGTGATACATTGGAGGAGAGGTGCGTAGTAGATGTTGAACCACCTTTGAAGGCTGTTGAGGTAAGGTTCTACACTTGAAAAGGTCTATTGGCACTAGTTTTTTACATAGCGATGTAACATAGTTTCTTTTGGGTATGTAGGAGTCACTAGTAGGGGATGGTGATGAAATGATAGGTCCTTTGAAGTGTGAGAATGAGGTAATGTTGGCGATGTACATTCGCATGGTGTACATGTAGCGTCTGTGTACGTGTGTAAACCCTTAAGTACGGTTTTTGTTTGGCAGGAACCTAGTGTGGAAAAAACGGTTGAGGAGGTTGAAGCTCCAGCGAGTAGTGTAGGCTGTGAACCACCGGTCAAGGGTAGTGAGGTATTTTTTGTGTGCTTAGGAGAGTTTATCACACTTGCTATTTCTAGAGTATTGTTAAGTTGAAAATGTTAGGCTGTTTTCGTTTCGCAGGTTGTAACCGAGGAACAAACTGCTGAGGAGGTTGATTCTTCTGTGATTGGAGAAGGTGTTGAGTGTTCAGGAGCAGGTTCAGAGGAGTTGAATGAGCCGATAACTGGTAATGGTGAGAGTGTTACGGCTGTGTCGGCCGAAATTGGTGATGTAAGTGATAATGTAAGTGTATATTGTAAGATGGGTATTAACCGTGTACACCATTTAGTTGTACGACTGACATTATTTTTAGGAATCGATGTCGTAATAAACTTGTACATTTTTTTTTCTGAATGTTTAGCACTTACGTGTACATTGCTATTTTAGGTTTAGTGTACACGGTGGTAGTGTACATAGTTTTGATTGGTTAGTTTGTTTTTGAGAAGTATGATTTTTTGTTACTAAGGAAGTTATTTATGTTATGTAATGTTATGTACACCTTGGTATAATAAATAATTTGTTTAATGTGTTTACTCTTTTAGAAACAGGAGGGAGGTGATGAGGATTTAGCAGAGGAAGCTGAGGATGGTGGTGTTGAGGTTAATTCGCCAGAGCGAGTTGTTTATGAAGATGTGAGCGACTCGTCAACACCGCGTACTGAAGTCCATAAACCAGTTGAGGAAGAGGAGCAACTGGCGGCCGTCTTGTTGGCAAAGGATCAGATAGCCGTTCCTGAGGTAGTGCCTATGTTGAAGGACAGCGACTACCCTTTCTTTGAGAGGGTATTGAAGGCGAACCCTGAAGTGTGAGTTTCCGATAGTTAGTAATTTATTTTCTTTGGTGTAGGATGTCTCTAATGTCTTTTTTTAAAAAACTTCATTGTAGGTTGCATCTGAATGCTAGGGGATATGATCTTACAAACAAGTTTTTTCTTGAACTTGGCACCCCCCAGAATTGGGTGTCTACCACGGTAAGTTTTAGATGTCCTAATTTAAAATTTTTTTGTATGTACATTGGAGGCTTAGATGTCCTAATGCTAGGGGATATGATCTTACAAAATTATTTTGGTGTACATTGGAGGCTTAGATGTCCTAATTTAAAATTTTTTTTTTTTTTGTAGCACATTGCTGTTCTGATGGATTACATTGACTTTTGGCATGGGGAGGAGGCTCTTAGTCAGAGATCTATGTTTGTGGCACCTTGGTTCACCGCCCACGTGCAAGGGAAAAGCAAAGCATTCAAAGCTGCAAAGTTTAAAACTCGAGTGGTGGTGGATGAGAAGATTAAGAAGTTCCTTACCATGGAGGGTCGCAGATGGGGGCACGAGGTGGACAACCTTTACACACCCATGATTTGGGAGGGGTCTCATTGGGTTGGTTTGTGTATTAGGCTGACTGACAGGACAATTTTGGTGATGGATCCAAACCCGGGAGGGAAGACAATGGCGAAAGTGAATGTGTTGATGGAGCCTATTGCTACGATGCTACCTTATATACTTCGTAAGGTTTGTCCTTCAGCGGTTGAAGGGGAGGCTGGGCTGTCACCTTTTACTGTTGAAAGGTTGGATGGTGTTTATGTGAATCGTAGAAGCGGTGACTGTGGACCAGTGGCTGTAAAATTCCTTGAGATGCATGTAAGTGGGGATCCAGAACCAACGATGGCCGGTTTGACAGATGAGTTGGTTGACATATTCCGTAACCATTACGCGATGGAAATTTACAGGAGATGGGTGGTTCCATTATATTTAGGTTGATGACCTAAGTGACTTAGTGAAGGGTTGTTTGTTTTTTTGGTATGTAAGATGAATGGTAACTTAATGTGTGATGACGGAAGTAACTTGGTGAAGGCATGTGGACCTTTTTTGTATTTTGATTGACGTTTATTTTGGATGTTGTTATTTCGGCTATTTGTAAGATGATTTTTTTTTGTTTATTGACGTTTATGGAATGAAGTTTTTTATTTGAGTGGATTTCTGTTGGGTTGGTTCTAATTTTACTATTTTTTTGACAATTTGTCGACAATTTGAGGTTTGTGTAGGGTTAGGAGTAAGTGTAGATCGTTGCGGAATTGTAGACATAATCCCGTAGGTGTTTGAAGTGGACCTATGGTTCCTTGTACCCAATTATCTGATCGGAGCATTTAATATTTACATGTACGAGTGTACAATGGCTTAGGGTGTGAAAGGTATGTTGTGTACAACAGAGCATGATTTTCTAAGTAGGAGACTGTGCGTAGACATGTATATACGCTGTCCATGTGTACACCCGTACAATAGGAGATGCGTACAATTTAGAGGAAATTTTGTTTGAAGACATAGAGACACTCAAGTGTGAGGACGATGTTGTGTTTTTTTGTTGTAGGACGTCCATAGAACCATAGTAGAGTATGTTTTTTTGTTACAGTATGTAATACGGGTGAGGACGAATTTCAAAGTGGTAGAGTGTACTAGAGGATTAGCGTAGACTTGTACAGTCGTTGTCCATGTGTACCTACGATTGATGATGTGGAAGGTGAGATGTGTACACCCGTACAATAGGAGATGCGTACAATTTTAAGAAATTGTTTTTTTTGAAGACATAGACAAAGTCAAAAGTTACAACATGGAGATTTAGTACAAGGTTAGATAAGGTAATGGGATAGTAGTGGAGATATAAAGTAGACAAATTTTACAAAATGTTGGATTCCCTGTGACGAGTGAAGGAATTATATGGAAGGTTAGTTTGTGTTTTTTGTTGTAGGACGTCCATAGAACCATAGTAGATCATAATATTGAAAGACTTCTTCTTTTCCTGTATGTCCCTCTTCGTGAACAGTCAAGTGTTGTTCTAGTGTCTGACGTAGATCTTGTACCTGAGTTATAAGTTCTTGCTGAGTAGAGTCGACCCTGTGTATGTCTGCTAGTATAGATTCGTCGACCCACTTGAAAAGGTGGCTTTCACCGGGTCTCTACATGTAACAGTCGTAAAAGAAATCTAGATAGCGAGTAGATTAATGTAAAGTCGAAGGAATGATTAGGAAGAATTTACAGACCTGTAGGGCTATGATGCAACGGTAGAACCTTCTACCGGGGTTTCGTGGGGTTCTGGAGAGGAAGATGTCCACTTTATGACCACACCAACAGTGGGAAGGAACTGCGCTCATTCTTGGTCTATTGTGAGAGATCTGTTTCTAGGAGATGTGAAGGTAGGTGGAGGCTGCAATACTAGAAGTTGTGATTTTAGGTGGAAACCCTATATATTTAAGGTTTTAGTTGAAGATTAATGGGCCATTTTTGTTAATAATATATGGGCTTGTCGAAGCCTTTTAGTTTCTTAGTTTTGGTTTAATAGTGCCGAGGGAAGTTTTTTATTGGTACACGAGGAGTATCGTATATGTGTACGATGATGGAGCACAGTGTACAATGCCAGTTGCGTACATGTGTACAGTTCGGTCTAACTATTGGTGAGGTTTAATTCAGAAGCATAAGTTTTCCAATTTCCAAAAAATACACAGCGTCACTCACAAAAGCTAATACATGTTAATAGTTTAGACATGCACAAAAGAGTTATGCTATTTCCCAAAAAAGGTTGTCATAGGGTGAAGGCGCTATCCAAAAGAGAATGCATGTGGATATAGCATTCACCACACGTCAGATCGGTACAACACAATTGGTGCGGTTGTGACCGGAGAGCCCACAACGTCCACATTTGTTTAGTTTAGTTTTCTTGGTACCCTGTAAGATGTAAGTATATGTTTTGATTGGTGATTGAAGTGAAGATTGTTGTACAAGCCGTAGTAAATAAAATGGTTGTTAAATTTACCTGGATTTCCCCAGTTGAAGGGTAGTGTTGTTCTTTGGGGCGTCCAGAAGGGCGGCGTGTATACGGAGGGTAGATGTTGAGCTTGGAAATAGCTGGAGGAATAGGGATCTCGCCATCCGATGCCTCCGGGTATATAACACCAGCGTAGGTGTCGCGCCATGTCTGTGTTTTGTAGCAATCACCAACAAGCTGGACATGTGGGAGACGTAAAGAATCAGCAACAAGCAAGGCATGCCCGCAGGGGATTTTTAGTTTCTGAAAAACGAAGCATGAGCAAATCTTGGTGTCTAAGGCGACTGTGTAAGGATACCCAAATACCCCCTTAACTTGATAAGTCCACTCCTTGATGTTTGAGATGGAACTACCTGTAGTAAGTTTCATGTGGGTATCCATAACAACAGCAACTTCAGGTGTAACTGCACCCCTGTGTTTTGCAGATTTGGTTCTACGTGCAGAGAACCAACGTGTCAACATTCGCTGAATGAACATGAAGAGCTCAGTAACCGGGGATGCCCTTCCCTTGTTCAATGCATTGTTGAGCTGTTCCGCGACGTTGCTTGTAAGTAGGTTGTAACGATCACCTTGAAAGTAGGTCCTCGACCATTTTGAAGTGCCAATGTCTTCAAGATATTTTGCACAAGCAGCATTGGATTGCCTGATCTTGTTGAAGTTGAGATCGAAATCTTTTCGTTTGAAGGAGAAAGCAGCTGCACAAACGAGTTTGGCCAAACCCTTGCTCTTGAAGCGGGATACTACATTTCTCATTATATGGACGATGCATGCGCCGTGGTGAGCCTTTGGGAAGACGATTTTCTTAGCTTTTAGAAGAGATATGTTCCGGTCCGAGATGATAGTGACAGTGGGGGAATCAGCAATAATCCTTTCAACTTTTGTTAGAAACCAGAGCCAAGAGCTGTCGTTTTCACCATCAACAATTGCAAATGCAAGGGGGAAAACCTGGAAATTACCATCTTGACCGCTAGCTGTAAGGAGGACGCCTTTATATTTGCCAGAGAGATGTGCCCCATCAATGACGATAATAGGACGAAGACGGCGAAAGCCCGTTATGGAAGCACCAAATGAGAGGAAACCATAGAGGAATCGGGTGTGACCATATTCATCTAATTCTGTCTCAATGGCGGTGACAGTGAGAGGGTTGGTTTCTTTTAGCCTGTGGAAGTAAGAAGCAAGGTTCAGATATGAATCCTCTGCGTTGCCAACAACATCATCAATCGCATGCTCTTTAGCTCTGTGGCATTTCATGTAAGAAGCAGAAACCCTCAAATCCTCCAAGACAAGCTGTTGTAGCTGCGCAGCTTTAGGACCGTGGTTTGGTTCACCATACCGAGAACGGTAAACATGAGCAATGACTTTTGAGGTGGCCTTTGACTTGTATTGATCACGAAGGTCCAAAGGGCAAGTGTGGTTTAGCTGTGCCTTCTTTATTGTGTAATAGCCACATGTGGTGAGCTCTTTGGCGAGTATGCGCCAGTCGCAGTGTGTGTCATGGCAACTAAGAACGAAGGAGTCCCTTTTCGTGCGGGTTTGTCTGAAGTGGAAGCGCTTCTTGATGGCATATATAGCTAAGGCAATTTGGCAGTCTTTTTTGTTTGCGTACAGTTTTCCAACCGTAGGTTCCCCGTCCGTATCATCGAAGTTGAGATCTGGAACATCGTCAGCCTCATAAGCTACATCATCAAAGAGCGGGGGGATGTCAAACTCCTCGTCGCTGATATCACAGAGAGGTCTAGTCTCAGGTGGTTGAGGGGTAGCAGGAGCAGGTGGATTGGTAGGAGTACGAAGTGGAGACGGAGTACGTGTGTACGCAGATGAAGCGCGTACAGAAGAGATAGGTGTCCAGGGGGCCTCTTTGCCTGGGTTGGTGGACGAAGTACCACGTTGTACACGCGTACAATCCCGCTGATGTACACCGATGAAATCAAGATCTTTCTTCCAATCTGTATTATCTTGGCCGTTTAAACGGACTGTATGGTCGAATGCACCTCCGT